GTGATAACCTCGTGTGAGAAATCGGTGCTTTAGGCTGTGGCTGTGTGCTACCTTCATCCCTTTCTCTCCTTTGCCTTTGTGGCTAGCTTGTGGTTATTAACTCTTCACCATTCCTTCCTTAGATCCTCCTGTGTGGGCATAGACGGTGGAGCAACCGTTTGGTGCATCGGTTGGAGTTTGGGTTTTCACATTGTGGTGTCGATTGGAGTATTCTGAGCCCGGTAGCTTGGTGTTTCAACCCTCACAGGTGTAGTTTTGGCCGTATTCAGAGAATCTAAAGCTGTTAAAGGGTTCAAATTATGGCCATCTGATATCGATTGTGAAGATATCTAAACATTCATGGAAGGAAGAGAAACTTCCATGTCGATAATGTTGGGCTAATGGACTTCATCAGGTGCTGGTTTGGAGCAATGCCATGCTGCCATGGCAACGGAGGGCTAGCCGGGCAGTACAAATTTGGTGGGAGGAGTGGAGGGTGTATGGCACTTCTTGGTGTAGCTCAGTAGCTAAAGTGGTTTTGAGATTGGTTTTAGGCAGTTCCTTGGAGAACATTTTGGATCAATTTCCAGTTGGGGTTTTATGGGTTCTTCTGTTGCTTTCTGGAGTGAGTTTGAATTGTGTTCAAGGCACATGAATTCTAAGGAAGAATCCTTCGTTATGCTTATTTGCACGGTAAGTTTCACTTGTTGGGTCAAGTGCAGAACTTGGATTTATTTGTGGGATTGTTGTGCATTTGATTCTTAGAGTAAGAAGATTGGGTGATGGCCAGGCTCGTTCCATAGTTTGGTATCATAGAAACCCTTAAAGTTGGACACAACATTACCTCGTCAATATTAATTAAGGAAGAAAAATAAGCTAAAATCTTGTTGATAGTAGTGTTGAGTCAAGTTGCACGTGCCAAACACTCTTTAGGTGCACATTTAGGACACTAGGGAATAGTAGAGGACAGTATAATAGATGAGATTTTTTACTTTTTATTCTTACTTGTTATCAATATTGTATGATTTTCTTTGTATTTAAAGTAAGTTAGGCACTTCTGTTCTTCCTTGCTTTGTTGCTCTTTGTTTATCTCTTTTTCTTCGGTACATAACTTAGGTATTATGTCACATTGTATTTATGCATTACCAGAAGAATAAGAAGTGGTCCAATTCTTTTTCTTTTGCTTTTAAAAGCATAACAAGGTACATAAATAAGTTTGACACCTGAAAAATAGGAGAAAATACAGGAATTTTTCATTTTGATACTGCATAAATCATTTATTTTTACAAAGGATGTGAAAGTAAACAAAGTGGAGCTGGATCCACTTGAATATATGTCAAAGCAATAACAAGAATATTTTTAGTCGAACATCTTGTGTATCATAGCTGGAAAATTCTAAACGTTGCAGAGGTTTGAGCACCTGCCAAAGCATTCTTCCATTGCTGCACCATCTGCCAAGGAAAAACACATTAATTTCACTACTTTACTGTTCAATTTAGAAATCAGAGGGAAACCAGCCTAATCAATGTGCAACCACCAGAATTTAGAATTTACTGTGCAGCCTTCACATTTCCTCTGTATTAGACTTCTAGGAAATAGGAAAATTTGCAATATAATTATGATACCAATTAGGCTATTTCTCTGAAAAACAGCCAAATTGAACACTTATATTGAAGATAAAATTCAAATAAATGTCTTTATTTATATGCTTAAACATTTTAGATGAGATGATTCAATGTGGTATAAAGACAAAGGACTCGAGATCAGTTCTTGTCGTCACTTATTTATGAAAATTGTACGTGTCACTCTTGATTAAAATGATCAGCCTAACTTGACTGTTCTTTGAAGAAAAATGTGTGTCCCTTCTCATAGCTTAAGCTTTTAGAAATGATTGGTCTATTCAACGGGCTTGGGATTATGTCGCAGCCCATTTATGAAACTTGAACATCTGCCAAACATTCAGTCTACACATGTCAAAAATCTTTTAAGAACTCAAGGATTTAGAAGAACTTTCGGACGCCGTAGTTTAACATGGGAGACGAGAGAGAGAGAGAGAGAGAGAGAGGAGAGTTTTAGGAGTACCATAACTGGCAGGAATGCAGAGTTGCAGTGAACAACCAATCTGGCAATAGTACTGATAATCTGCAGCCGAACGAGGAACACAGGAATTTAAACACAGATAATAACATGGAAACCTTTCTGCTTGAACTCCTCCACTGCTGAGAAAACACTGATTGTAGCATCCTCCCCAGCAAGCATATATACTCTGACCAGAGACACAATTTGCCACCATCACCACCACCAGAATCGCCACCATGCTGCCACCTTTCCTCTCCATAGCCACTCCTCTCCTCTTCTACGTACCGTGTAAGTATATATTTGTTCTATTTTGAAATGTTTCGTGTGAGAAAGCACTGTGTATATAGATCAATAGACCAACTACTTTGGTGATTCATTAATCCAAGCATTTATGATGTAGTCAATGTAGTATAGTCAGCAAGCCCTGCCCGGCCTAGCTGTTAAGTTGTTAACGGCCAGAACCGGCCCGTTTCATCCCAAAGCGAGTCGAGCAAAAATGAGCTTATGGGCTAAATGTATTATCGTTCTAGTTTCCATGGCTCGTGCCATTGGGATTTGAAATAAAAACTAAAAAGCACCATCATATATTAATATGGGATACTAAAAAATCGAAATCGATTATTAATATGGGTAGTGACTGAAATTCTAAAGAATATATTTTATCCTAATTAAACGCATAGATATTATTAAGACATTACCCTTGATGCGTACTTTAAATCACTTGTAACCAACGCATCCTCGTTTGAATTTTCAAGTCTTCTTCGCTATTCGCTGGAATAATTTAAACAGAGTTTCTCAGAGAATGAACTCGGGGAATTTAGAGTCGAAATTACTATGAGAAAATATACTTAAGTAGTCAAAATGAATGACCACATTCAATTAAAGAAAAAAAAAAGATATTTTTCTTTTTCAATTCGTTTTTTTTCTTACGACAAGATAATAAAATCTAGATTTGTTGAATAAAAAAACAATTTGTGCTTGATTTTTAATAGGAATTCTAATTCAAGTGAACGAAGAATAAGTATATTTATTTATGGTTCAACTCTAAGAATACTACACATTTTCTCTATAATTGTTTGGCGCGTGGACACTAGTTAATTGAATAAAATTCAATTGTTCAAAGTGTGTAAGAACTTCATTATTATAAGAGCAATACTACGTGTACAAAATTGAATAACAAAATGATTAATAAAATATGTGTTGGCAAGATATGGACCAAGGATTTCAGATTAAATTGCCCATTAAGAAATATTGGTACTAATGATGTTCATATAAAAATAAGTGAAGGATTTCATGTTATGAAACTATGTTCGTTAATTAGTTCATTCTAATGCCCAAAGTAACGAGGTATTGATTAATAATATAACTCTTTGTTTCCTCAAAGAACTCGAATAAATAATTAACGTTCATAATCCGCCCAAGATTAGATATGTATTTGTACTTAACAACTTAATTACTCAATTTATAATAATATATGTGATCAAGGTGTTATTAGCCCAAATATTAAATGCAATATAAAATAATATAAAATAATATTTATTTATCCAAAATGTAATGTCCAATAAGATACTCGAGCGTAATGCAACCCGGGGGCACTTTTTTTTTTTTTTAAAAAATACATTTGGGTGGGGCCCGCGCTACAGTGAGGAGCCTGTAAGGGTACACCAGGAATTATTCAACTTTTTAGCCATGAAAAACATTATAGAATTAATCCACTTGTACGATGAGTTTGACAATATGTGAGGTGTAAAGATTATTGCCATTGATTTCTAATGCAATTTTTCAAATCAATGAACAGGATACGTGCCAACTTACGCATTGTCAAACTAACTGTACAAGTAGCATGATTGAACATCGTATCATAGCCGATTACATAGAGTCAAAACAGGATCCTTCTGAATTTCCTGCCGACATTGTACTGTATAAGAAGTTTATTTACCTGCAAGGTAATAAATTTATTTCTCAGCCAACGCGTACTCAGTACTCTAATAAATTTATTTCTCTGCTATTTCTCAACTAACACATACGGTAGTTCTTGATGTAGATATGCAGGCTCATTTTGCTTGGTGTGGGTGAACAAAGAATTATTTCATTTCCTCTTGTTGATCATGTTTAGGTTGATCGTACTCATTGCCGATGAACTTTATAGATCTACTTCAAGTCGAGGGATATATTAGCCATTCCATACGTGCCATTGGATCGTTGGGTATAAAAACTTGAATGGTCCCCAAATTATACGATGTGCGGAAAATATCCACGAACTTTAAATTAGACTTCAGCAGACTCTTAACTTTAAATCATAAACCACGTTAGTCCAAAAAATAAATTCAGTCCAAAATTACTAACAGAGCCCGACTCGAAGTGCTTTCATGCTACAAGAGCATTAAAAACGTATTTTTCATTAAAAATTTGGTGCAATTTATCCTTATTGACATATTAGGTATCAGAGTAATGTTAAATGCGATGCCACATCACCATTTCATTGTCAAGGTAGGACGTGTGTTAGTAGTTTTGGACGGAATTAATTTGACTCGTATATTTGCTCGTTAAAATGCACAAATACATAATATATATTAGTCTATTGTAATTTAAAATCACAAGCTTTACAAATTTACGATATTATCCCGTGATATACACTTTTATCTAAACATATAATTGTATCTTCTGGTCCTTAATTTTTATGTTTTATAGTACAAAGTTATGGATGTTTGGCTAAGCCAAAAAGTGACTTCCAAAATTGATGTATGTAGTCGACCATGGCATAGCCACCTTGTGTAAAGGGATCAAAACCAAAAATATACCACGTTGGTAAGAACAATATCTTCGAGAAACTATCCGAATGGATTGATGGAAAAGTTAGAGCGGGAGAAGAGTCTCGAGGGAGGCCAAGGCATCTTCACCACTGCCAAAGTTAGGACCAATTTCTTGTGGTCTGCGATAATAGACTAAAACAGTAAATAATTTATAAAGGAAAAGCATAACACAATCAAAGGATTTCAAGAAGTGAAATAAAAATGAGAAACTCTTGATGAATATGCATGAAAATTAGCATCCATGTCTCCAAGAAGACCAAAGCAATTAAGCATCATGGGGAAAAGGACAAGTTGATTGTTAGGTTCACTTTAATGTCATCTTCTGTTGGCTTAATTTGAGCCCATCATGCGTACCCCGCAGACATGTCTTGTCTTACATGTCAGGCTTAAAACGCAGGTAGTCGCCAAACTTCATTTTCTTCTAGGTTAGTCACTGAACTTAATCTTTATTTCAAGTTGACCACCAATTTGGTCCTTCCCTCCACGTCCATTAATAACTAATGATGTAGTTCAGGCACGGATGTAGGGGGGACTGAGCCAAGTCATAGCCGGTCCGTTGTTAGCCCACTTCATTTTTTTGGTAGAAAAATTTCTTTTATGTTAAAAAAAAGGGACTGAGCTGGGTCATAGCCGGTCCGTTGTTAGCCCACTTCATTTTTTTGGTAGAAAAATTTTTCTTTTGTTAAAAAAAAAATTCATGTGTATTTTTTTTTACGTATTAGTCCGTCTTGTAGTTCGGTCCTGAACCCGTTTCAGATACATTTGATGCAGTAGCCTGTAGCCTAATTGGCAAATAAGTAGATTGTCGTGTCACCATTTCCGATAGTCAAACTACTTGGCCACCAATTTGGTTATTCCCTCCACGTCCATTAATAACTAATGATGCAATTGATGTAGTTGCCTAATTGGTAAATAAGTAGATTGTCGAGTCACCATTTTCGTTAGTCAAACTACTTGGCCACCAATCTAGCCATTCCATCCATGTTCATTAATAACTAACGATGCAGTTGATGCAGTGACATAATTGGCAAATAATTAAATTGTCGCATCATCATTTCCGTTAGTCAAACTACTGAACAAAGATGGAGTGACCAAATTCGAATAAAATTTATGTTTGCTAATAACTTAAAACAAAATGAGGCTCTGTGATCAACATGAAATTTTCGTTTAAAGTTAAAGTTAAGTGGCCTCTAGCATATTTAACTCTAAACATGTCACCAAGTGCTTTCTTCTGCAGGTCCAAATCACACTAGATTAGTACAGTTCTACTATCAAGGATTTTGAAAATAACTTGTACCATTGAAATTACCCTTGATGCAACGCAACCTCATTCTTATTTTTCAGTCTTCTTCGATGTTCACGGGAATAAATTAGTCTTCTTCTTCGTTATGTACCAGTTGAGCAGCCATTTTTGATTGCTTGGGAGAGAGGGGAGACCCACCAGTTCACTGCAACGGTAACTTTTTGAGTTAAAATCTGATAATAATGACTGCCAAACATGCTCTAAATGAAGTTTCTCGGAGAATGAAATCCGGGGAGGTAGAGTTGAAATTACTACGAGAGAATAGGTTAAAGTAGTCAAAACAAATGAACACGTTCAATTAATAAAAAAGGACTTTTTTTTTTGTCGAATAAAAAACACAATTTGTGTTTTCTAATAGGAATTCTAATTCAACTGAACAAAGAGTAAGTCTATTTATTTCTGATTTAACTCTAGAATACTATACATTGTCTCTATAATTTTCTGGCGTGTGTGGACACTAGTAAATTGAGTAAAATTCAATTGTTCAAAATGTGTAAGAACCACATTATTATAAATCGAGAATATGTAATAAAAGAAAATTAAAATAGAAAATGAAAAGTTCCGTTTAATTTTCCATAATTTTCCTTTTAGTACAACATTTTCATTCTTTAAAAGATATGTAAATGTATCCCGTCAATATGGATGTCCATTTATTGCAATAATTTTGGTAATTACAATATCACATAATCTGTCCAAATTAATTTTAGATATTTAATTGTATAGTACTTGTTAAATTATAACTCTTATAATTTAACCTCGATTCCTATTTTGAAATCGTCTAAGGGACATGGTCGAACACAATTGATTTAAGCTCCAATTTATTAATTCCTCTTGACACTTCGTTGAGAATTCATCCTTCTACCGTTAAAATAATTATAAGTGACTATTTTGATCGGTAACTTTTAATTATTTATATATAATATTACAAGTTCCATTTTTTATTTATGTAATAAAGATAATACGACCTTATCCAAATAAAGTAATCAACTTTATTTACTGGTCGTGGACAATTATTTTTTATTAGTGTATATGTATTTAAATTTATGTGTACTTAACAACTTAAGTACTCAATTTATAATAATATATGTGATCAAGGTGTTATTAGCTCAAATATTAAATGCAATATAAAATAATTAAATAATATAAATTAATATTTATTTATTCAAAATATAATGTGGGATAAGAGATTTGAGCATAATGCAACCCGGGCACAGCCTGAGTGCTAGTGCAAGGCGTACTGCAAAGGACTGAAGCATAATGCCAAGCTCAAGCCCAAATAATCCACTTGTGCATGACTATTTACCTGACAGAATTCTTACACCCGCTCACATGAGGATGGATCCCACGTAATAAAAAAGAAAAAAAAACTACCCACCCACTCCCCCCTTGTGAGTACCTGTAGGTTGTCTGTATGATTGTATCTGTACATGTAGCATGTTTCTGCCAAGCTCGGCACGACCTGCCTTCAAAGTTTTTTTTGAAGGGGAATAACTGTCAGGGACCATACAGACGCTACGCTAGAAGCAGGATGATTGGGTTTTTTTTTTGTTGCCAAACCCAATGAAAAAAGGATAATGGTAGAGGTACATAAGCATCTACATAAGGGTATCCATAATGTTGATATGTCAATCATCCGATCATTGATGTGTAAGTATCAGATTTGAATTAAAGGTGAGATTGATGTGGCAATCATCCGGTCATTGATGTGTAAGTGTCAGATTTAAATTAAAGGTGGGATCTCATGCCACATCAACATTATGGACACCTTTATGTAGATACTTATGTACCTCTAGTATTATCCATGAAAAAATGCCAACTACCCCTGTAAAAAGCTTGTCAATTTTTACCTAGCTGAAGTTTTTTTTTTTTTTACTGCACAAACTTCTTAGCCATGAAAAGCATCATAGAATTATTTTACTTGTGCAATGAATTTGTACAATGAGTTTAACAATGTGAGGTGAAAAGATTCTTTCCATTGATTTCAAACACAGTTTTTCGAATCAATGGACAAGATATGTGAGATTGTCACATATTAAGTGTTGAGAATTTCACTTAAAATGTCAAGAATTCTATCAAATGTAGAAAACTCTCATATTCAGAATGAAATCTCGTTCTCGACAAATGAAGTGTCAAGTGCCGAGATAAACGGATCCAAACATCAATAGCAACTTTTAAAATATCGAGAACAGTATGAAATATCAAGAACAACAACTATTAAACACAACTTATCAACAAAAACAAGATTTCAAAGCAAAATTACATTCTATCCAAAATTGTGGAAAGATTAATCAATTCGCAAATTTCTTGAAATGAAATTATATGACTTCTTATGAATTGGAAGAATAAAATTATTTTTTAGCGTTGATGGTTTTTCTACCTCATCTTCTTTATGTTTTTCCAAAATCATTGGTCAATACCTAATAGCTAATGAAAGCAAATAAATTCATTAGGTATTAGCTAGCATTAATGTAGATTTTCATGGAAGCTACTTTTTATTCTCGAAATTCGTAACAAACTGAGAAAAGTTTCTTCATTTTTCATCAAGGGTATAATAGACAATTTGATACTAAAATTGGTCATTTTTGCAAGAGTTATAAAAATTAGACACTTTTCAATTGACAAGCATGGAATTTGACATTTGTTTTTTGTAAATTCCTCTAAATTTATTTCTCAGCTAACATGTACTCGGTACTCTAATAAATTTATTTCTCTGCTGGTTTCATAAAGATTTATTTCTCAACTAACACAGACCGTAGTTCTTGATGTCTATATGCGGGCTCATTTTGCTTGGTGTGGCTGAATAAAGAATTATTACATTTTGATTGTGTTTAGGTTGGTCGTACGTTGATGAACATTTTTGATCTACTTTGAGTCAAAGGGATATTTAGCCATTCTATAATGTTATTGGATCGTCGAGTATAAAACCTTGAATGGTCCCCAAATTATACAATGTGAGAAAAATATCCACAAACTTTAAATTGGACTTCATTAGTCTCTTAACTTTAAATCAAAAACCTCGTTAGTCCAAAATTACTAACAAACCAGACCTCAACATATTGATGATGTGACATTACTTTTGATATTTACAATGCCAACAAAGATAAAAAAAAAAATCACATCATTTTTCCGAAGTGCTTTCTTGCTACAAGAGCATTAAAAAAGTATTTTCAATATAAATTTGGTGCAATTTATCCTTATTGACATATTAAGTATCAAAGTAACGTCAAATGTGATGCCACATCATCATTTCATTGTCAAGGTAGGACGTGTGTTAGTAATTTTGGATTGAATTCATTTAACTCGTGTATTTGCTCGTTAAAATGCACAAAAACATAATATATATCAGTCTATTGTACTTTGAATTACAAGCTTTATAAATTTACGCTATTATCCCATGATATACACTTTTATCTAAACATATAATAGTATCCTCCGGTCCTCAATTTTTATGTTTTATAGTATAAAGTTAAGGATGTTTGGCTAAGCCAAAAAGTAACTTTCTTAAAAGTAACTTCCAAACTTGATGTATGTAGTCCACCATGGCATAGCCACCTTGTGTAAAGGGATCAAAACCAAAAATATACCATGTTGGTAAGAACAATATCTTCAAGAAACTATCGGAATGGATTTCCTCCAGTTGATGGGAAAGTTAGAGCGGGAGACGAGTCTCTTCCATTGGACTTTTGAACGGGGTTGGAGGCGAAGGCATCTTCACCACTGCCAAAGTTAGGACCAATTTCTTGTGGTCTGCGATAATAGACTAAAACAGTAAATAATTTATAAAGGAAAAGCATAACACAATCAAAGGATCTCAAGAAGTGAAATAAAAATGAGAAACTCTTGATGAATATGCATGAAAATTAGCATCCATGTCTCCAAGAAGACCAAAGCAATTAAGCATTATGGGGAAAAGGACAAGTTGATGGTTAGGTTCACTTTAATGTCATCTTCTGTTGGCTTAATATGAGCCCATCATGTGTGCCCCCCAGACATGTCTGTCTTACATGTCAGGCTTAAAACGCGGGTGGTCGCCAAACTTCATTTTCTTCTAGGCTAGTCACTGAACTTAATCTTTGTTTCAAGTTGACCGCCGATTTGATCATTCTATCCACGTCCATAAATAATTAACGATATAGTTGATGCAGCGGCCTAATTGGCAAATAATTAGATTGTCGCGTCACCATTTCCGTTAGTCAAACTACTTGATCACCAATTCGGTCATTCCCTCCACATCCATTAATAATTAATGATGCAGTGGCCTAACTGGCAAATAAGTAGATTGTCGCGTCACCATACCTGTTAGTCAAACTACTTGGCCATCAATCTGGTCATTCCATCCACGCCCATTAATAATAACTAACAATGCAGTTGATGAAGTGACCTAAGTGGTAAATAATTAGATTGTCACGTCACCATTTGTGTTAGTCAAACTACTGAACATAGACGGAGTAACCAAATTGGAATGAAATTTATGTTTGTTACTAACTTAAAACAAAATGAGGCTCTGTGACCAACATGAAATTTTCATTTAAAGTCTAGAGCCCTCTAGCATATTTAACTCTAAACATGTCACCTAGTCCATTTCCGTTAGTAAAACTACTTGGCCATCAATCTGGTCATTCCATCCACGTCCATTAATAATAACTAACACTGCAGTTGATGTAGTGCCCTAATTGGCAAATAATTAGATTGTCGCATCACCATTTCCGTTAGTTGAACTACTGAACATAGACGGAGTCACCAAATTGGAATAAAATTTATGTTTGTTACTAACTTAAAACAAAATGAGGCTCTGTGACCAACATGAAATTTTCATTTAAAGTCTAGAGCCCTCTAGCATATTTAACTCTAAACATGTCACCTATTGCTTTCTTCTACAGGTCCAAATCACACGAGATTAGTACAGTTCTACTATCTAGGATTTTGAAAACAACTTTTACCATTGAAATCGTGTGTTCATTGAGAAAATGCAAGATTATCGAAAATAAATTTCCGGAAATCCAAAACATACCTAATAAGTCGCGGGTTATCGAGTGATTGCTGCCCCGTGTATGCTCCTGGAATTATAGAATTCACATGAATATCGATAAAGTTGGGATCAATTTTTATATGTGGATATATATTTAAATTAACTGACAAAAACAGAACAATTTTACCACGAGGAATGTTCACCCCATAAGGGGAAACCTGTGAAGCCAGTGCTGATGCATAAGGCGATGATGGATGTGGCTGTAAACCCGCTAGAGGTGCCATGTTAGGTAGAGCTCCGTGCAAAGATTCGATAGCCGGAAACTAAACCAATAACAAATGAAAAAAGGGAATAATTTCCAAGGTTCGTATGTTGGAAAAGTAAACTCATACATTCCTATGAATACTGTATCAAACTGATTATTGGTTATGAACACTATGCTTTCAACAAATTAATGGACATCGAAAATATGAAAATAATCAATTGAATGGTATCATTAAGGGTATAATTATCAACCATGCTACAAGTACAATNGTACAATTTTTTTGACATCAAGTTTGACAATGTGCCACGTGTTAAAGGTTGAGTAACCAGTTTTTAAACACCACACACTTTCCCGCTCATTCGAATTTGAATTAACTTAAGTTGTCAAATTCCTTGTCAACCATAGATTGTACACAAAGCATTATTCTATAATTATAAATGAGCTGTTACTCTCGAACTGTGTGTATAACTTATATGTACTACATGAGCCCCAGCATTTTGAAATTGTACTGCTAATGATACTTTATTAGGTTAAAGGTTTTAAGTCTCTTAAAAGTTCACTGATTTAGGTGGTTCTCAATAAATTTTCCAAACTGCAAACACAATAATGTGCATGAATTTCTATTGGCAAATTGATATTTCAGTAAAATTAATGGCTTGTTCAGTAAGTGAACTGCATGATTTTAGAGAGTATAAGAAAATTAAGTTAATAGTTTGTGTTTTCTATTTAGCTGCATATACCAAACATGTCATAAAACACCAGAGTGAGATCATTAGATCAGGTGCAAACAGATGAATTCATACCATTGCAGCTTGAATTTGTGGTCGTTCATCACCAAGATCAAATGGGTTTCTTAGCCTTGCAGAATTCGTGGAAGGATCCATCGACTGTAAAAGAAGTTCAATTTTCTGATTCATGTTGTATTAAGATAAACCTTTTAAGAATACTCGATAGTGAGTTTATCGTTTAGAATGTGACATACCATTGCAGCTGGATAAAATTGCATGTCGTATCCCATTCCATGAGGTGCACACACTTGCCAACTAGGAACTGCTGAAGCCAATGCCACGTGATTAAATGTGAAAAGGTCCTGCGCAGTGTGAGTGACAGATTACAAGTTGCCTGAGTTTGATAAGCCATTTTAGGTTTTTCCTTTCGCTTCTGGCAGAAAACTGTCCAGACGAAAGTTTCAAAGAGTTCTCAAACTGTAGCATTCTATCAATCATTACCGCAGGAAGTTCCTTTCGTCCTGTAGATTTTGACACATCTCTCAATCCAGTATCCTGTGTCGGTTTGGAGGAAGCTTGAGATGGTTCCTCAGATGGGGCATTTGGCACAGGTCCTTGACCATTTGTTGCAGATGTTATATTACCCTGCTGCATGTAAGCACAACAAAGATAATAACATGCTCTATTTAAGACCAGAACATTAAGTGGCTTGATTGTTAAGGGAACTAGACAGTACTCGACAAGATTAAAGAGCAAAAAAAAAGAGAGGCTAAAATCATATTTATTTTATTGTCCAATACTGCATACACAACACACCCAGAAGCATAGTGCAAGATTCAAATTTCAAAAATGTAAATTCTCTCTTTTTAATTTTTTTTATTATAGAAAGTTCATACCCTATTAATAAGCAGACAAGACTGTTCAATATTCTCAATATTTTCTTTTAGGGGGCAAAACGGTTTTGGATGAAATAAATTGATTTTTTAAGTTCTATATGATCACCTGATCATATAAAGTTTCAACAGATGTACTTAGTGGAGCATTAGAGTGACTATTCTTAGGTGAGGAAGAAGGCAGATTTTCCTGATCATTAGGCAACTTTTGTACATCAACAACTTCCCCCAAAGAATTGGTCCTATTGCTGGGCCATGCTTGGTCCTTCTCCATAGTTGAAGGAGGAGGTTCAACAACGTTGGAAACTTTGGGGATGCTAGTTGTCAACCCTGCATCCATAGCGTCAGCTAAAGATATAGGTGCAATTGAAAGAGCATCAGCACTGGTAGGTATTTGAGGTGTGCTGTCTACAGGCAACGCCGTAGGAGCTGACAATTCAAATAACAAGAACTCCAATGAATTCTTATTTGGAGCATTGGACACCTTTTCGGCTGCTGGTGATGGAGTGGATGAAGCCATTTGCTGTAACTGTGGCTCTGCTTTAGTAGGAGCCAAAGGGTTGGTAACAAAATCAATCAAGCTACTAGAATCTACCGTCTTGTTTTCCTTTGGTTTCTCGTTTTCAGAATTTGGATTAGTAGAATCAGCTGCCTTCTGCTATATAAAAACAACCAAAACTTCAAAACACAATTAGTTCAAATTTCAAAAATCAACAGTACAGTGCGAGAGTTTCAATCTGCATGAACTTATTTCATAATACTGTTCAATAATGTCGTTAAACATCTGCAAAAATCAAAGAATGAACTCACCCGGTCTCTTGCAGAGCCATCAACTTCCCTTCCATCATTGGCTTTAGGACGTTCGCCAATTCTCAGAGGCAGAACTTTCTCGCCTAAAATATCTTTGACTGGGCGTATTGCTGGAGAATTTGTCTCCCGAATCCTTTGAGAATTGGAAGACATTTTTCTGGCCCTAGATTCTTTACTCGAATACCTGTCAAAATGCCTAACACCTCCATCATCTCGATACCTGTCATCAACTATCTCAAAGCGAGTAGAAGGGCAACCCCTATTATGACTCCCAGATCTCATATTTTCTTGGCTGTACCGAGGACTTCTTTGTTCCATGAAATTTCTTAATTTTTTCTCATTATTCGTCATGATAGGACTAAATTTCTCAAACGACTGCCGTTCGTAAATGTCATCTCCCCCAACATTACCAGCTATTTCAAAAGAATGCTTCTCATAAGTATCACACTTGGGTTTCTGCAACATCAATAACATCATGATTTAAAAATACACATAATTTCAAACAGAACATGGTCCAATAATCTTGACGATTACATTGTCTGAAAAAGTATAAAATCCTCTATGGTCATAAGAAATACACTTACCGTTCTAACCATTGGAAGCAAACTGTTTTCCCCAGTATATTTCCGGTCTACATACACATGCTTAATAAAATCTCGAATTCGATGAAGATTACTGAAGAACATCATACATAATTATAATACCAATTGTTTCTACATGAAATTGTATCACAGGTAAACCAAGAATAGATTACCTAGCATCGGGGCAAGAATTATGTTGTGGATCCCACACTTTAAAATAAATTTGTCTTGCTCGCTATGAAGGACATATAGGTTAACCAGTTAAAAATTTGAGAAGTTTTATCAGAAATGAATTTAAATGAAACAAAAAACAGCATTATCACTTTGGATGTTAAGAATGAAAACCTCATTTCCCCCAGCTTGAAGAGCACTAACTTCTGCTGCATTAAATTTTGCCATCGACACTGATTTTACTCGATGTGTGAATTCCCGACTGAAATTATGCCAGGAAAATAATCGTTAAACAATGAATTATCCGTTTATACATTTGGCTCTATCCTTCCATTATTTATTTCATTAAAAATCGGCATGCTATTTATGAAACTTACTGCACTCCACTACAATTTGTGCATACGAATGTCCAGAAAGTGGTACAAACATATTGCGGACCCTGCTTGACAGAAAATAAGTAAAAATTAGTGAGGATCTGAAAGTATACATGTCTCTCTATCAAGCGAAAAATGTATAATGAAAAACGGATTAATATTAATATACATAATCCCAAACACATATTCAGAATAAGGTTTAGCTTGTTGTTTTACTTCTACGATTCCAAAAACTATTTTTAAACAATGTTTAGTTCATTAATGTGTTCAACAATGGACCAAATATAACACGATGCGAAATTTTGGCAAATTTCATATCCCGTATTGTGAGCATCTTTGGTTGACAAACCAGTGCATATATTTGAAAGCCAAAACTTTGGAACTATTATATGTCTCTACATGGTACTAACAAAACATAACTCGCGAGTAATAATAAAATAAAACGTAACAAAGAGAAAAAAATAAAGAGTGCCCTAAAAATTTCACGACTCTTGCATCGAAGAAAAGTTCACCAGTTTAGCAATTGATCTAGATGTGAAACAAGGCTGGGCTGCCCTGTCTATAATTGTCCCAACACCCCCCCCCCCCCCCCC